TGGTGTTTGGGGAAAACGAATGGCTTTGAAATGACCTGCCACAGCAAATAAAGACATTAAGGACAAGGTAGGAAGGCTTTCAACATAGTCACTGCCTGGTGCTTTCACTTCTGGAAAGGCGACTCTCCCTAAAATTCCATGCATTATTTGGAAAGTCAGAACCAGTGAAAGTTTCTTGAGTTTTAAATTACATAAGCTAAGATGCCACCCACTGTCAGATGATACTACCTTTGCAGAATGCTCTCAAACACTGACAGACTTCCAGATCTATGTACCAATGAGTAGGCAACATGTTTGTCCAAACTGCTCAAAATACCAAAAATGACCAAGTGTAACTCGGTGTTCAAGTTCTGTCAACTGCATACACACCCAAGCACAGTAATGCTAAATGATGGAACAAGCATCAGATATCTAAAATACTAGCTGGAAAACTGTTGGACTTGATGACTTTTTAGTAAAGACAAGACTTTGTGAACAAATATCCAGGGAGCGCCAGTCACTGAAAATGCATTTTTAAAACATAAATATTCCATAGCTACTCAGAATATTAAACTCTTGTAATTAAAATAGCAAACAATGACTTGTTTTATAAAACATTATGGTCACAGAATTCTGATCTTTCTTAAAATGGGCCTCCATGAATTTTGACATACAGGTATAATTAATTATAATAACCCAAATGAAATCATTACTTTGCAAACATGCAATGGAATTAACACTGGTTGACTGCCATTAAATGTCACTTTCTTTCACATACTTCCCCACTGAGTTCAGATAATAAGTCCATAAGGCAGGTACTATTACTTCAGTTGTGACACACATAAAAATTGAAATTCAGTGAGGAAACTCCTTGAGATAAGAGGCCATATATAGTTCTCCATCCCTGCATTTCCAGAATCTGACATTACAGGTTGAGTCCACATAGCTAAGGACATTTTTGACTAGAATTTGACCAAAGGTTTATTTTAACTAAGAGCCTTTGGGGAGATTGTAAACTTTTTCTAAAAAATGTAGCAGGCCACGTGGTCTCTGCTACAACTACTCAACTCTGCCCATGTAGTCCCAGACCAGACATAGACAATCTGTAACTGAACGGATGTGCCTCGATGACACAATAAAATGTTATTTACATTTTCATCATTTTATAGAAATAAAGGGCCAGGAATGCTTGAGGAATGGTGATTCCATGTAGCAGAATGCATTAGGGCAAGACCCTAAGGGAACTATCTAATCCAAGTTCTATGACTGAAATGGCTTCATGTCCCCAGGTCAAATGAAGATGATACAAACATCAGGAAAGTATTTTCTTATGAGCAAGTATTTTTTAAACACATGAAGTCTTCCATTACCATGAAGCTTGATTGAGAATTTATGATCAAAACAATCATGAAAAAAGGTTTGGAATGAAACACACATCTTTTAAAATAAAAATTTCCAGGGATAAACAAGAACCTTGTTCCACATGCTCAAAAGAGGAAGAAGAGGAGGAGGAGAAGCAGGAGGAAGAGGAGGAGGAGGAGGAGGAATTTAAAGTCAAGAAATAAAAAGCTATAAAAGGTTACTCCTTCTTAAGAAGAGCAAATCAGTTTCATATTCCGTTCATGTTTCCAACAGAAGCAACACAAAAAATAACTTTCTTTCAAAAGAATGTATCACTGACTTAGGGAAACCAAAGTGTATGGAAAAGAAAGCTGTCTTCATTTCTAAAACTGAAGGCCACAATCTTCCTTATTATTTCTTTTTCTACTCTTTCTCCCAAAAGGTTTTCCAAGAATAAAAAAATATATAAAAGTGGTAGGTGCTAGATAAGCCATTAGGCTTTCTAAAAATATAAGTGGCATTCTAACTATTACTATTCTCATTATTATTTATCAACTGTACTACCATGTTTGACAAGTTTTCTTCTAATACAATCCTGTGCTCCTAGAAGCACACATTTCCATAATCTAACCCACACAGTAAAAAGCACTGTTAATAGGAATGTGGCCACTCAAACACCCATTGAATTGAATTGAAATTGACCCCAGAAAACAGTATTTAATAAAATAACCACTAGCCATCCAATGGACTAGCTCTAATTTTTCAGTTGATTGCCTCTTTTTTTTCTCTCTCTCTTCTAGCACAGTAGGTCAGTGTTCAATAAATATTTCCTGCCTCCCTCTGTTCTAACTCTTCATACATCAGGTCCTGGAAGAAGAGGTAACCCTACCTGATACTGTCAGTTATGGGCATAAACTTTCGTTGATAGAGAAATGGTACAATGCTTGTGTGGAGGTGAGCGAGGGCTGCTCGTAGAGCCAGAGGAGAAGACAAAGCCAACTGAGAAGGTACAAAGAGGGATCAAGACTGCAAGATTCGAAAGACCTGGGGATCCAGGAGCCATGCCTAAAAAGTCAGGGGCAGTCCATAAAGTGCTTAGCCTTGATTTTACAGTGTTGTGTATTCCTATCGTATAGTCCACCATACAAAACTCTACAAACTAGACTGATAAAACAGAAGCAGCTAAGTAAAACTTTAATCCATAAAAGCAGAGCTAAAAACCATCAGAATGCTGTTCTGGCTGATTACAGACTTCTCTGAATACTAGAGTATTAGTTGTACCTCCCGTGTCAACAACCACTCTTACTTCACTAGCACAATCTTTAAAAGCTGCTTTTTTCTTAACAAGAAATCATTTTTAAAACATGGGCTCTAGCTCACTGTATTAGGGAAACCAGTAGACAGAATCTAAAAGTGGTACTGCCATTGATAATTTCTAAAATAGATATTGGAACTTCAGAGCAGTAAGCTTATTTTTAAAACACGATGTAATTGCCTAAAAGTTAACACAAAATCCTTTCAGCAAACTTGGGGGTGAAACTTCAATTTTGTAGCATTTCTACTGGAACTTTGACAAGGAAAGGCAATCATTTTCAGTTCTTATCATTTCTTCCATTCCCTTTATGAAATCTGTAAAATTATTTTAAAATAAGAACAAAAGTGGTGAAAAATACAAAAAGATACATGATCTCAAGTGCAAAATATTCTAAGTACAAGCTACTTGGAATTTCCATAATCTATCAGTGTTTTGTAAGTAGTGACTTTATATTGGTCCCAAAACCACATGGAAAAATCATACAGAAATATCCTTCAGAAAAGATGTATTTGTTTAAAAAGCCAAAAGTGATTGATATCTTTTCTTATAGTACCACTATCTGATGCAAATATTAGGTTGTTTCATATGATTTTTCAATGAACCCTAAAGCATAGTAATTTTTACCCATTACTCTAAAATTTCCTAATGAACGTGGTTCTAAAGAACTCTGCCCACCCTACCTTATTCGTTCTTCTGCTTGAAATTGCTAATATAATTTCCCTCACTTCTGATCATAAGTGAATAAAAATCTCAAACCTCTCCATTAATCTTATTTTCCTCTTTAAAAAAATCATTACCCATTATCTTGGGCTACCAAAAGAGCAGCCGCTGCTTTTCAGTTACACACACACACACACACACACACACACACACGCACACACACACCACAAGTGCTCGTGCCTGACACTTGTCTTAGGAAATTTAGAAGTCTCACCAAAGAGCCCAGAAGGAACCAGGCTGGAAAATGTCCACAGATACCTGGTTTTACAAGTTTTGTGGAAAGAACTCCCCTTTAGTGTTACTCAGTATTTACGAGGGTTGTTTGTCAAGACAAAAATAAGGAACCTCCTCCCCACAAATTAAAGAATCGAGTTACAATCCATTATTTCATTTCTGATTGTTTTTCTTTGTAATAAGTGGGAAAGTAGATACTGGATAAAAGTCTTCCCAGAGCTAAAGGACTCCACATTAAAGGCTCCAATTAGCTATAAATCAGTTGTCTTTCCTACCGGGGGAGAACAAGAGAGAAAAGAGAGGGGTTAGTTAGAGAAACAAGAGAACGGGAAGAGTTTCCAAATTAAATTCGGGGGGGGGGGGGGAGATACGCGCTGCGTATCTAAACCGGCTTTGGGGGCTTGGGAGGCTTCAGGAGGGAAACAAAACTATCAAAGGTAAGACTAACACAAACCCTGGGGGCTAAGTCCTTTCTGCTGGGTTGAACTTGCCTCTTAAGATCTCCAAAGGGCGATTGAAGAGGTTAGAGACCCTCGTAAAACAAAACTTTATTCCGCACGCTCTCCCGCCCGCTCCTCAGCCCCGAGAGGTGTCACGAACTGGCACTATTGTTATGCAAACAATGTCTAAAGGGCTATAACCATTAACGACTTCTCATTAAAACCCTTTCAAATATTCGTCACACCATGTAAAATCCCTAAGAGGTACTTTAAATCCTTCCCAAATCGACATTCAGAAAAAGAAATCACCCTGATTGTACCCTAAAACTCGAGGCAAGTAAAAGCCCAGGATTCTGACTTTCTTATATTTCTCTTTCAACCATTAAGCTACAGCCAATTTAGTTTCCTACAAAATTTAGGTTATCTTGTAATAAGCATGATGGAATACACCTTTAGCCATATAGTGTGCACATATATTTACATTAAGTGGAAGAAATTTGCGGTAGGAATAGAAAATCAAACGAGAACTGCAAAATGAATGCCCAAAAAATGTTACTCTAAATCCCCTTTGTTGCCCCAATGCTGTAACAATCCCACCCACGTATGTAACTGATAATTTTTTTAACGTCCCAAGGGATGCAAGTAAAGTCAATTTACAAAGGTAGCAGCCGCGCGTTCTTTTTAAATGTGGTGCAACAAGAAGAAAAGAAAAAGAAAACCCTGCTCGCAACCTTAGGATGTCAGAGTTCGTTATTAAAAAGTTTTTCACTGCAAAAGCGACCATGCCCATTTGCGCGCATTCACGGATTTTGAAGTCTTCCAGGAACTTAGCAGCCGCTGACGCATTCCTGGGGCGCGGGCCCCTGCCTCCCGCGGTCCGGGAAGTCCCCGCCCGGGTCGAGATGGGGCGCGGGGCCCAGACGGCCGCTCTTGGGGACGCGGCGGGACTCGAACCCGGCCCCGCACCCTACCTTGGTGTACTTGATCTCCAGGTTGGGCGTGGGCGCCGGCAGGAGGTGCAGCGCCGCCACCAGCGCCGCGGGATCTGCGGCGCGCCCGCCCGGCGTCGCAATGTGGCTGGAGGTCATGGCGCGGCGGCGGGCGCGGGCGGCCGCTCTATATAGGCAGGTGCGGCCGCGCCCCTGGAGGGAGCGGGCGGAGGGGCCGGGCCGGACCGGGGAGGGGGCCGGGGGCGGGGCGGGGGCGGGGCCTCCACGGGTCCGCGGGTCCCGCCCGGCCCGGTGCGGTCCCGGTCCCGGACACAGTGCCAAGGACACCGCTCGGCCCACGATCACGCTCCCGACCCGGCCCACGGTTCTGACCCGGCCTACGGGCGCCTCCAGACAAGCACATCCCGACCCGCTCCAGGGTCCCGGCCCTCGGTCACGGTCCCGACCCGGCCTTAGGTCATGGACCCGCCCACGAGCCCGGCCAAGCTCGCAAGTCCCGACCCGGCCCATACTCCTGTCCACGGTCCCGGTCCCGGTCCCCGACGGCGGGCGCTGCGCCGTCCCGCCCATCCGCTCCGCACCTGGCCCGAGCCCGCGGGCACCCGGCGCCCAGGTCCCGCCCGCAGCCCCGCTGCCCTCCCTCGCCCGGCGAGGGGAGCCGCCGTCCACCTTCCGTCCCCTCGAGGGCGCGGGGCCCTGGGCCCCGAGGGACAGCGAAGACCCTGGAGCGCCGCTCGCTGCGGGTGTTTCCCGCCCACTGCTGCCCCCTGCCGGCCCCGCTCTGGGCCGCGGGCTGGGGCCCACCGGGGGCCTGGGCCTCACCTCTGCCCCTTCCCCTCTTCCCTATTTCCCTCGTGTCCTTTCCCCTCCACGCCCCAGCCCACACCCAGGACCAAGCAGGTCACTCTCCCAGCACAGCTGTCATCCTGCCACGCCCGGGTGTCCTCACTCCCTGCCCTTTGGGCTGTGAGTATTCTGTACCCCAAGCAGCACCTTCTGGTCTGTGCGTCCTCCTGAGGGCCAATCGTGGACCACGAGAGCCCCCTCAGGATGAACTTTTGGGGGGATCACTGGGCTAAGTTAGAGGTCCCCCGGAAGCACCTATAAGGTCCTTCCCTCCCTCGTGCCCAGCGTGAGTGTGGCAGGGCCTTACTCTGCCGGAAACCACTATTTCTACCCTGTGTCCACGGAAAAGACGCGTGGCTGGGAGATCCTACCAAGCGACTCCTTGATTTGCTCTTAAGCGCCTTTAAGAGCCGCAGAACCCTGTTTCTTTTTGGGTTCAGTGTCCTCTCGGAAGCATTTGCCTTCGACGCTTTCAGTAGCTGAAACTGCCTAACGCTTGGTGCTTAGATGCTAAGCAATAATGGAAGTAGGTAAAAAAAAAAAATTATTCCGTTTTAGCATTGGGTTTTGTAGAAGTAAATTCCAGGCGCTCAGAACCCAAAGTATCTGCTCAAAGCAGCATGAATGAATCGGAGGATCCACGGACCTACGGTTAAACCCTTTGAGGTTTTCAGTTCGAAGGGGATTTCTGTGGCCCCAAGATGATACCTTAATCCTGGTATATGCTCATGAGCTGCATTTTTATCAAAGAAAAGCGGACATGGCAAGAAGCACTAGTGAGGGCTGAAGATGTGAGGTCTCGGGTTTGCTGAGGTGAGAAAGAGGTCCCCAGCCAGGGTGAGCCGCGGTCCCCGTGGCAGGGTTCCGCAGAGATGCCCTGGGCACCTTCCCTGCAGGCTGCTATGCCTGGGGCTGCAGCGCAGACGGCCCGGAGAGCCCTGGCCAGGCCGAGCTGGAGCTCTTCCTTACAGGTAGGGAGGTCCTGCCGTGCCCTGGGGAGAGTCACTGATGCAAGTGGAAGGAAGGCGAGGTCTGCCAGCTCCCAGGGGAAAAGGCTGAGTCTATGGGGAAGCTGACCTTTGAGTGATGCCTGAAACGGGGAGTGAGGCTCCCAGGAGAGGGAAGGGCGCTCTGGAAAGAGGACTGACAACTCCTCCGGGGACCTCAGAGGCGTTTGCAGGGAGGGGTGAGCCTAGCGGACCAGTTACCTCCAGGTTATGGAGGCCTGACTGCAGGAGTCCTCAAAAGCCTCAGAGAAAGGCTGTTACAAACTCAGAACCACTGATTCACATTCTTCTCAAGGCACAGACAGACTTGTTCGCTCACCTTTAGGTTGCTGACCCCAGTTCCATCACTGGGATTTGAAACTCCCTCCCCGAGGATGGAGCAAGACCCAAGAGTGACGAGATTCTTAGCATTTATTAAGGCAGAGAGATAAAGCAAATAGATTTTCTCCTCCTCTGGCAGGAAAGGTAGTTAACTGTCTCTTGGTTTCTTCTCACAAACATCTCCAAAGACGTCGTCCAGCGACCAGTGACGGCTGTCTGGCTGGTTTGAATGGGTCTCTCCTGGCTTCTTCTGTGTTCACCTTCAGAGTAGACTAGACGGAGGAGCCATCAGCACGGGGACAGTGTCTTCCCTTTCCCTCGTGCCTGTCTCAGTTCCTGAAACAACATGGAGAGATTCAATGAGACTTTTTGTGGAGTTGTGTGAGCAAAAGTTGAACGCTGTTGACTGCTTTCACTGTAAGTGGAGGTAATTTCCCTACCCTCTCTGATTAAAGAACACTTGCTACTGGGGATTTAGCTCAGTGGTGCCTCCTCCCTCGAAAGAGCAAGGGCCTGACTTCAATCCTCGGTATCAAAAAAAAAAAAAAATTTAAAAAACATTTGATCAACCTGATCTTAAGCCTTTTTTGACTTTTCCCAATCTTTTACTGTGTGCTTTTCTGTTCAAAGGTTCCTTAGAATTTTTTTCTTTATGCAGTAATCCTCTGGGAGGAAAAAACCTTCAACCCTCTTTCAGCTCAGGACTGCAGCCACTTTTTGTCTAATCTCTAATTCAAGGTGGGGACAAAATTTAGCAGAGAACAATGAACTAGAACTGCAGTACTTTCTCAGTCTCTGGGTGATTTCTGTTCTTAGGACGTACATTCCTGATACACGTGAGGCAGGCTTCACATCCTTATTCCCCACCACCACCCTGTCCTCTTTCTTTATTGTCTTATTTTATTATCTTTTCATTTCCTCCATAGACTTCACAACCCTCAAGGAGCCAGTCTTTGCCAACGCCTGCTTCATTCATATCCCTAACATTTCTGAGTTTCAGTCTTTTCCCCACTTTGGTCATGAAACATTTTTCCCACCCTTACAACATTTCTTCTTCTCACCCTCCCCCACCTGTAATTATTTATTGTTTAGGATACGTCTTGTTTGAAACCTGTGCGAGGAAACCTAAGCTACAGCCTACTCTATTTATTTCCTTGTGAAAACAATTTATTAGGCCTGGTGGAGCCAATATCCTGGAGTTGGCAGAGGAGAAAAATAAATTCTTGCCTCATATTTCCTGACCTAAATACCAGAAGGCAGGGTTGTAATTTTAAAGCATCAGCTGTACATAAAGTTTGACTTCAGGGGATGAAGCTATGACAGTTTAGGCTTCTTTTCTGACACAGTTAGGGGATGAAAGTATTCATCAAGTCAAGAGCCCTGCTTTAGAAATCAGCCAGGGAACCAGGCAGAGCACACGGATCCCCTCAAGAAAGAAAAAAAATTAAAAATAAAAAAAATTAAAATTAAAATAAAAGAAAGATACACGTTGGTTTTGACAATAACTGCACATCCCTGGAATGGGAGTTGGGCTGTCCAGGGCCATCTCAGCTGCAGGTGGCCTGCTCAGTGTCCCTCCTCTCTCCCTTACTGACCCTGATGATGGCCCACCTTTTCTAACAGATACACTTGCCTTTTAATTTATCCTCAAAAATAAATCACACCTTAGGGCAATTCCCCCTTCTGCGTTAATAGAATCGGTTCCTTAAACATCTCGAGTCTAATGATTTGGAAGAAGCACGTTGTTTGAAATATTTTTTTTAAATTAGGGCCCTTAGGTTGTATCCGAAATGATCTCAGGGCTTATTTCAGATGCAAGTGTTCCCTAATGGTCTCATTCATCTCAAATGGGATATGCCTGGCCACTTTATTTGAAATGTTTCTTGAAAACTCTTACAGGAAAGCTTAATGCAAGTTATATTTATAGAGAAATGGTCTTTAATTTATTAACAAAAGCTTATAAAAAGCTTTTACATATTTTTATCCAGCAATGCTTAATGAAGTATTTTGGATCCATTATGAAAATGTCTATAAAATAAAATCACTTATTTTTTGTTTAATGTCAATATTAACTTTTTATTGGAGATCTAAATGTTCACTTAATTATACTCTTCCTAGCATCCAGAAGAAAAGAGACTGAGGTAGTGGCATTTATGAACCATAAAAATTCTCTAGATATTAAGCCCTGCCTTCCTTAAAGTGGCCCTGGTCACTACAGCCTGTGGAGGGGATATTTGTAGTTGCAGGGAGTAAGTTACTCACTGGTTATGACTGGAGAAATTTATGTTCCGATACACAACATAATTCTCTCCTCTAAAAATATATCCTCCATGGGAGTTCCCAGGAGACTATTTTAAAAGAACTGGATTTGCTTTTGTTGTACAGCCAGAGTCTACTTAATCTGTGTTCTCGCGGCTTCCATCTGGGTAGAGTTGAGCTCAGTACTTTATCAATAATCACTCTTAACAACATAGGGAGAAATTAGACTTCCGGCTCTGGAGCCTTTCCCGAAGCGCCTGAGGAAAAGGCATTAGCGCCCTCTGCAGCTGACCATGGGTATGTGCAAGTGAACCTTGTCCTTGTGAACATGATAGCTCGCTGTACTGTTTCGTTTGACACTAGCGAGAAATCTTTAGATCAAAGTTGAACGCGTTTGGAGGAAAACATAGACTCAGACGAATTTTAGACTTCAGTTAATTTAGAAGAAGAATTTTCATTAAAAGATATTTAATTTTTAGGGAAAGAACAATAGTGTTTATCAGGCCAATTTGTTCCTTAGTTCACATTTTTCTTTTTTACTTTGAAAATCCCTCACTTCTCTACAGAACTCTTTGCTGCTATTCCCTACCACGGCAATCTCCCTTTGCTGTGCACACACCTCCTTCCCAAGTCCTTTTGCCTTTAGAAAAATGTTCAACTCACGGGATATTTGGCCATAAGGATTTCTCAAGGAAAATATCTGGGACAGGGTCCCATGG